CGCCGAGGGGCCGAAACAAACAATGGCGGTGTGGGAGATTGAAAAGAGATACGTAGGTCTACCCAACCCCATGATGTTCCCTCTAATACGGTCTGTGATGGCTCTCCCAAATCGCCCGTCCTGCATGCGCTGATCGCGCATTTATGCGAAGCGCCTGGTGGCTATCTTCCGGCAGTTGGCATACGGGAGGCAAATAACTGGCGCACAGTGGACGTTCAGCAGACACACGGGGCATGCAAGGGCGGGGCCGGAGACTTCTCGATGAACCACCATCACTCACACCGGGAGCCCATGCAAGATGTAGGCATGACATGGTTATGCATTCTCACTTAGCATTCCATGGCTATTACGAGCTTATCATTTCCAATTCAGCATTCCACGGCTGTTACGAGGTTATCATTTCACCTTCAACATCCTATGAGTGTTCGATGGCGAGCAGTTCCAGAGAAACAGGAGGCGAGCCGATGGCTGGGCCTTCATGGAGCATCCAAGCGCGGAGGAAACAGACCGAAAGCTGATGTGGGGAAACGGCCGGGGCTACCACTTGCCAATCGGAAATGCTAAATATAGTCAGTTTTCTGAATGGTGGTGTGGTTGCCGTGAGATTTGCTATCAATGAAGCTTTTTTCACCTCGGGTAGAGTTGAGGGAGAAGCGGATGCCATTGCATGACGAGGTTGTTAACGGGCCATACGGATAGGACTCAGATCACAACGATCGAGATTTACCAACCGCGCCACATTCAAGGCGCTGGAAACTTGACAAGAAGGGGCGAGTCTCTCACAGCTGATTTAGGAGGAGAAGAAAAGAACGGTTACACTTAGAAACACCTTCGGACGTTCTGCGAAGTTCCAAGGAGAGGCAGAAGTGAAAGGGCATGCCACACCATCCGGAGATGGTTGTCAATACAAGTTCCTACAATTACAAGATTAGACCGCTAGCGGCAGTCGTGCATGCCGCATACCTGTGGCGAGCAGAAACGGTGAGACGGAACACTGATTTGTCACACCGAAGTACGCAACAGCAGCCGACAGGAATACCGATGGGATCGCGTCAGGATATTTCCCGCTCGAAGGGACTATCCGAGCAGCTGAGTCACGTCTCGAACCCCAGCATCTCACTGGGACCGTGCATGGACACTTCTCCTCCACGTGAAGTGTCCATGCACGTGGAGGGGAAGTGTTCATGCACGTGGAGGGGAGGATATGTGACCTCCCCGATAGACTCCGCTGCCCGCGGCCGGTGCTGGGGCCACATCGCCGGCTGCGGACGGCGCGGCGCTCCCAGACCAGACGGCACCGGCCGCCCCCTCTATCCCCTCCTTATAGACCCTGCTGCCCGCGGGCCGGTGCTGGGGCCACATCGCCGGCTGCGGACGGCGCGGCGCTCCCCAGAGAACCGGCCACCGGCCGCTCCCTCTATCTCCTCCCTTATAGACCCCGCTGCCTGCGGCCGGTGCTGGGGCCACATCGACGACTGCGGACGGCGCGGCGCTCCCAGGCTAGACGCCGCCGGCTGCTCCCTCTATCCCCTCCCTTATAGACCCTGCCTGCGGCCGGTGCTGGGGCCACATCGCCGGCTGCGGACGGCGCGGCGCTCCCAGACTAGGCGTCGCCGTCCGGTCCTTTAACCTACTCCCATATAGAGCCCGGTGCCCACGGCGGGTGCGGGGGCACATTGCCGACTGCGGGCGGCGCGGCGTTCTCAGGCTATACCCCGCCGGCCGCTCCCCGATCTGCTCCCCGAATTTGGGCGCGGCCGCTCTGTGCGGCCGCCGCATAGGCAGATCAGCCGGCAGGAGACCGCAGACGCGTCAAATTTGGCCGGTTGGCGACCGGTTGTGCTGCGAGGAGCACGGGCAGCACCTGCCACATGCTTGAACTCATGGGCCGGATGGGCACGGGGGAGGACCACGTTGTACCCAGGTAAGGGAGGGGTGGCATAAACTGGATCAACGTGCATATTTTACTGAAAGGTCTAGCTCCCCGTCTCCGGAAGTGTCTGTTAGTGAGATTGAGGGGAAAGACGTAAGCTGCACTCTGGTGATTTTCAACGTCACAAAAACAAGGACTTTCGGTTGTTCCTATCTACAAGCAACAGGGATATCTAAAGCAATACTTCACAGGCAGCCCGCCTTTTTCACTCTACGTCAGTCGTGCCATTGCACATGGGCCTGAACTCGAGCGGACGCACGTTCAGCGCCTTAAACCCCACTCGGTTATCCCGATGTCTCCGCACCATTACCGCCACAATCTCAGTGATCACGGCTCTGTCTCTCACCGCACGGAGCCGCCTCGGAGAGGACGCTGAGACAGACGCCTGACAGCGGAGGCGGGCCCAGCTGGCGCGGGCCAACTCGGCCCGTCGACCTCAATGAACGTCGAGCTCGACAAGCGTCCTGGCATGTGACCGCAGCCAGACCGGGCCGCGACGACGCCCGGCTCCGTCCCTGCGTCCGCTCACTGATGCTCAGTACACCGGGGTCCAGGCCATCCGCCGAGGGGGAGGGGAGGGGGACGTCATACACGGGCAGGGGGCCAGGACGGAATGGATAAGGTAGCAGGCCTCACGGTTATCGCACCAAAGCTCCTTTTCGATGCTGGTGAGAATGCGGAAGGGGGCTTAAGCTCACTGCTCTGCGGCAATCCTTCCTCCGATTGAGCACGCCCCTGACGTGAGGCCGTGGTCGTGTTGATCCGGGCCCACAGTCTGTTAGTCTGGGCCCGTGATCTATTCAGTCAGCCCAGGCCAGACGACGCGCCAGTGACGGCCACGAAACCAGCATGACATAACCACTCTCCAGCAATGGTCGCGGTGGGCCAGCCCACTGGCCAGCTCAGGGCAGTACTAAGTCACGGAAGCGGGGCACGGAAACGGTCACGGGCTGTCGGCCAGCAGAATAAAAGATGGTGGCGGCCAGTCTCCAGCAGGCGTAGCCCCGCCACGTCACAGCATCGCGGTCACAGCGCGGTCACAGCGCGGGTCACATCGCGGTTTCCGTGACCCTCACGACAGACCAACAACACGCCCGAGACACAGTCAAAGTCACGCTCACGGTCACGGCAGGCGGCAATCCGCGACAGTCCGTGGCAGTCCGTGGCAGTCCGTGAAGTCTGTGACAATCCGTGGCAGTCCGTATCAGTCCGTGAAGTCCGTGGCAGTCCGTGGGCAGTTCGTGCAAGTCCGTGGCAGCCCGTGGCAGAGTCCATGAAGTCCGTGGCAGCCCGTGGAAGTCCGTGAAGTCGGCGGCAGTCCGGGACAGTCCGTGACAGCCCGTGAAGTCCGTGACAGTTCGTAGCAGCACGTGGTAGTCCGTGACAGCCCGTGGCAGCCCGTGAAAGTCCGTGAAATCCGTGGCAGTCCGTGACAGTTCGTGGCAGTCCGTGGCAGTCCGTGGCAGTCCGTGTCAGTCCCAAACGCCCGTCGTGCCAGGATCGGCCAAGCGGCGCCGAATGCGCCGGAAGAGCGGCGGTGTTCCTGTCCGCGGACCCGCGCCGCACCGCGGAGAAGGACGTCCAGATGACGCGCGCACGTCATCGGACAGCAGTGGCCGCCCGGACGGCACGATCGATCGGGACAAATGAAAAGTAAGAAAGTTACAGAAGGATGAAGAGGCAGACATGCAGCTAATAACGCTGTAGTAGTGCTATGCCTATACGTAGCAATTGTGTTTACATGACACAACGTGCACACGACTGCTTATGGGTGCTTTTATCACCAAATGGGCCCAAACTATGGACAACTTTCTTTCCACCGATTAAAAACCCTGTTGTCTATTTGCGGTTCAAAACTAACTCTTATACAATTAACTCAAGCGCAGTGCCTGTTATTTAATAGTGCTCGACAACCGGCAGTGTGACTTTTCAACGGGATGACACGCGTTTCGCTGCAGATGTTCCCGACCTCCACCGCACCTTTCCACCCAGACCGCCTCCCACCCCCCCCCCCCCCCCCCATACCGAGCTAGACCCGTTTTCCCGCGGGTCATGCCCTCGCGGCGACAACTCGCCGTCCCGCCAGCGGCCATTCCCCGTCTCAACGGGGTGACAAGAGCTGTCGCCGGCCGTCTGCCCATCCGCCTGCGGCCGCAGTAATGATCCCAACTACGCAACGCCCGCGGCGGGGACGGGTCAGCTGGGGTCGCGATGCTTGAGGGCACGACTGACGCGGCCGACGGAACAGGCGGCGACTGTGGGGAGCGTGGGAAAGCCGCAGGAGGGGGTCGCCGGCGGTGATGACGGGGAGGAGAACGTGGCCGGCGACGTTAGCTGCGGGCTGCTGCGTTCACGCACACAGTAAGCGATGCAAGGTGCACCAATTCTCTGCACGTGATGATGATAAATTGCAGCATCTGCCCGCATATGCCGCACCATTTGCTAGTCATTCTGGACGGCTTTTCGCCACAATAAACAAGCTAGGAGCGGAGCACTCTGGAGTTTGTTAATTAGTGTTGCGGCACACCAGTCCAGCTTTGAACTTCGCTGGATGGTCCCCAAGTTGGTGGGACGGGAGCGGGGTTTGCATAATATGGTTAGCCAACGCCGGAAAGTTGGGCCTGATGAGGGACATTAATGGCGTCCGCGAGACCTCGGGATGGACGACTGCCGGAGTTACGGGCCCATGACCTCATTCACGACATGACAAGCGGAGGTCGGCCGGTCTCTCGACTGCGGCGACTCTGCAGCCCCCATCCCACTCTACACTACTTTCACAGTGTTTTTCGGTGACTAATACTCTTGTATTCTCACTTGCGGCCACTGTTCGGCTCTCCCATTACTTCATCATACATGACGCGGCCTCATGTTTTCTGGCCACGGCGCCCGCCTTACGGCCGTCTCCCATACAAACCTTCTCACCCCGTCTCCCACTTCACCTTCCCGCTCCGTCTCCCACACACCACCTTCTCACGCCCGCTCGCAGGTGACTTCTCACGGCTCTCACCGCGCCGGCCGCCGGTGCTCACCATGCTGAGGTCGTCACGCTCCTTCACCAGTCGCGCACGTGGCGCACCAGCAGCTGAAGGTGCGGGTCGTCCCCACTGGACGCCTGCTGATCGCCCCACTCCTGCGTCCACACCGTCTCCGGGTTGTCCGTCACCTGGCGATAGGGTGGGGGGGTGACGTCAGAGACGACGACGAGGCGACGAGACCGGGTGCGGTGACGCGATGCCACGTGGCCTCGGATGTACATGGGGTCACGTGGTCTGATGGCGTCACCTGCCACGATGGCCTCACACAACCCGGTGAAGTCACACGATGCATTGATCTCGCGCGTCAGGGAGACAGCGGCACGTATTCAAAATTGGTCCTCGGGGAATGTCAGTTTTCTGCAAACTTCCGCGAATTTGGAACGCATTCCCGCGAAATCCCCCCAGCATCTGGTGTACAACTCTGGGTTCAGAGGGAGGGATATGCCCCCGTGCCCTCCCCCTTGACTTCGTCCTGCGATGGCGTCGCGTGACCCGGGCCTAGCAACAATCAAATAACCTGGTGATGAAGCCATGGAGGACACGACCCAGTGACATCACACACCCGACGAACGTCACGCGGACTAGTAACGTCCGCGGGACGCAGGCCCGCTCGTCCTCACAGTCCCAGCCGCCCGACGCGGGCGGGGCTCGGGAGAGAGGGCGCGGTCCACACACATGGGAGCACTTCCCGCGTCACGATCGCCGCACAGCCCCCCCCCCCCCCCCCCCGCCGCGGAGCAGCGACAGCACGCGCCCCCAGCTCCAAGCGCGCGGGACGGCCGTGAGAAGCTCGCATCCCGGCGCGCCGAGTACCGTCTCGAGGCTAGCGGAGGGCGGGGCGTGCCGGGCCCGCCGCTAGCCGGTGGGGGAGGGAGGGGGAGGGGATGGGGCTTGTGGTCATTCTGCGGAAGGCTCGGCGCTGGGTGGACCTCGCGGGCAGACGGAATCATGGCGGGATACAGCCGCATGCGGGGAAGGACGCAAGCTGGCGAGAACTCATTGCGTCGGCCAACGCTGGGCGGCGAGTCCGACGGGTGCAGAGAGCGTGAGGCGGTGGTCCCACAGGCGCAGCACTGAGGACGGTCTGATGCGCGGTCAGACAAGGTCATCGCCCTCGCCCGGAACTTGCTCGCGGAAAACCACCGGCCGGATTCAGTTAAGGTACACCGGCCGCGCCGAGCTCACCCGCCACGACGGGCTAAGAGTAAAGGGGTAACCAGCGGCCAGACGACGCACACGGATGGCTGTCCTCCATCGGCCATTCACGATCAACTAAGGACCGCTTTTAGGATGCACTGGCTCCAAGGCTGGGCACGGCGCCGCGTCGACGTAAACTGCGGGCGCCAGATCGACCTGGCCGGAGCTGCGCCGCCTTTGCCGTCATTGGTTTCAGCAGGTGACCAGGGCGAGCGTTCCCACGGCAGGCGAGAGATGGCGTACGCCGCAGCGCAGCCGGCATGAAACGAGATGTATTTCGCGGGAGGTCCCATGCGGCGCACTCCAAGAGGATTGAACTGCGGGCCACAGCCCCGACACTCTGGTCCATTCATTTCGCGGTTCCGCCTCTCAGGCAATGCTAAGAGGTAGTAAAAGCGGCTGCTTTAAAGAGCGCATTGTGTCTGGACGTTACAATGCGGTTCCGTGAATAACCCATGAAACCGAAGCTTCCAGCCGCTTTAAAGGGTTCACCTTTACTCTGATCAGCCTGGTCATCAGTGAGTTTTTATGAGGGCGGAGCGCTGGATTGAGGCGGACATTTTATAGGTGCCTTTAAGAAGGCAGACACGTTTGCACAGACCGGAACATATTTCTCATTTCAAGGTGTAGGCAATTAGACTCTTATATCCGCAAGCCCTTGCAGGCCGTCCATGAAGACAGATGGTGCATGTACCAAAGGTCTCTCGTGGCTTAGGACCCAGCGGCCAGCTGCTGAGTGAATTACGGCCTGGGAACGTTAACTCAGCCCAACGGCTGGGGGTGAGTCACACAAATATTATATCGGATCAGGCATCAAGCTTCGAGGCGCTGAAATCGGTCAACGTTGCTCTACAATCGGGTGTAATTGAAGAAGTACCTGAATAATGAGACACAACTGGTATCGTAATAATGAATAATGCATGACGGATGTAGCCTTATTCGGCGTTCTGAAGCTCATTATCAAACCTGCAGCAGCGTGGGGTAAAATCTCTCTTTTGAGGCTTCCAGTAATATCACTATGCTCCCTCTTCGTCCCGCTCCTAAGCAACAACCTTTTTCCACTGGTTTGTCGCGCTGACCATAACGGTACCACCCACGCCTGCTGCCTCGTGCCTGCTCCCTCTCAGAGCTCGGCGACGCTCTCCACAACACCTCGGCGGACCAAATCTTCCGTCGACGGCGCTCACGCACCTAACACTCGGAGGAAAAACAAACGGCCGCTCTCGCGTGCCGCGGCCATCACGCCCGGACGAGCAGATCGAGGCTAAGCAACACCGCGGAGCTAATCCCCTGACGTGGTGTGTCGGCTTCGGGCGATATGAGACGCCGACACTTGCATCACGTCGCCTGCAGCGCGGACGGACGACACCGAGCGGGTCCTCTCCACAGGCGTGCCGTCAGCGCCGGGGGGGGGCCGGCAGCCACGTCCTCTATCGTCATCTCGCTCCACCGAAGCGACGTTTCAGCCCACGCTAAACGCCTCTTCCATCGTTTCCTGGCAGCATCTCCTCGCCATGCCCGCCAGCGCCGCCACCGGGGACTGTCTGAACCGTTCGGGCAGCCTCTGCGCTCCATTAGCTGACGCCCGGACGGCTGGCTGGGCTGCCGTCCGTCGGCCAGCCTGCTCTCACGCCGGAACTACAAGCGGTCGTCACGCAAAGCACGCGTGCGCACGCGCGCCGGCACACGGCCCGTCATTTTCACACCCATCTCATTACAGCCGGCCCGCTTGTCAACAACGCTTGCCAGCTGGCCACGGGCGCCGCCAGCTGAGGGGTTAGGGGAGGCCACGGGAACAGAGTGGCTGATGGGTGGGTGGGGGGGGGGGGGGGGGGCGTTTGCAATGGTCTACTGACCAAGGCTGAGGACTAAAATTAAGCCAAGCTCGATGGCAGGGCGGTGGTGTATGGCCCCGAAGGCGACATCAAGGACATGTTCCACCTCGCCCATTTCTATTTTCTTCCTACATCCTGGCAACCGGCACCTCGAAGCAGCCGGTCGATTCGCTAAAAAGTGACGCGGGGGACACCAGGAAGTGATCTGGTGGCTGCACCAGGCAGCGCTACAAACCGGCGTCGCGGCCTCGTCTGAGCCACGTGTCTGCACAACGGATCAGCCGAGAGTCTGGCGACGCAGGCCGGCCCGGCACTGCCACCTCCAGAGCACCCTCTCCGGCGACGCAGGCCCGGCGGCAACAAACCACCCTAAGAGCACCCTCTCCGGCGACGCAGGCGGGCCAGCACCGCTACCACTCCAGAGCACCCTCTCCGGCGACTGCAGGCCGGCCGGCACCGCCACTCTCAGAGCAACCCTCTCCGGGCGACGCAGGCCCGGCGGCAACACCACCCCAAGAGCACCCTCTCTGGCAGCGCAGGACGGCCGGTACCGCCACCCCCAAAGCACCCTCTCCGGCAACGCAGGCCGGCCGGCAACACCACCCCCAGAGCACCGTCTCCGGCCGGGAGGCGAGCTCAGCCGGTCGATGCCGACCAGCTCCGCCGCCCGTTGACGCGACTCGGGGGAGCGGCGTTCATAAGGCGGGCGGCCGACCGCGGCGAGTTCATGTCGCTCGATGCGTGTCGCCACACAGAGCGGCGAGCGGACGGCGGCCAGGACACCCGCCGGCGGCGTCCTCGGTCAATACGGCAGCCCCCACCAGCGCGCTGGCTCGGCCGTCGCCAGGCGCGGCAGGTGCTCCCTCGGCCGCAGTTTCGACGGTGGGGCCGGCCGAGATTGGTCTCGATTTCGGCTGGGAGGCCGCCAGCCGGCGGCGCGATATTGCTTCATAGCGGGCCGGACGTGCACTCGTCGGCCGCAGCTGCCGGCTCTCGACTGACGTCTGCTCGCTCCGGCGCCGGCTGCCGGCGGCGACGCGGCCGACGCTGACGACGGCACGCCGGCGATCGTCGGAGGCGACGGGGGAGGCGCCGCTCGCTCGTGCGATGCGAGATTGAGTTTTGCCTCGGGCGGCGTGCGAGTGATATCTTTTGGAACGTCAGCCATGGCGGCTCAGGGTGGCGGCTGTTTGGGAATATTCTAAGAATATACAATCCACATTGCCTGTCTGCATGGCTGGTATGCCTCGTTATTGGCCTGTCTGCAGGCATTACAATAACGGTTTAATCACTCTGGCAACAGGCATCACCACAGGCAATCAATCATTTACCCAAATACCTCACCCAGTCTGTAACCCACAAAACACGTATGTAGGGGGCGGAGTTACAGTTAATCGATAGCTCTCTCAGATGCTGCAAGTGCACCATACGTGACCTGTAACCAACAGTTTGTTATCTCGAACTGCTCCCGACACATACACATATACGCCCTCAACCGAGCAATTGTAACCTCCACCCCGCTCACAGTCGGGAGACAAATAGTCTCATCCCGCGATGGTGTAGCCCAGCCTGACCGTCTGCCCCGGCGCGCCGCCGCTCGTGTCAACGCGCGGGGAGGGCCGCTCGTCGGCGCCTCCCCGCTCCTCGCCCACGCTCACCGTTTGCACAGGCGCTCGGTTCCGCCGGCGTCGGCGCTCCACGGCGGCTGCATTGCCGGGCCGATGGCGGCCGGCGCGACGGTGACGCCGACCAGTCGACTCGAGACGGACGTAAACGCGTCTTATTGCCGGCACCAGCCGGCCGCGCGAGATCGAGATGGAGATTGCGATAATGCTGGCGGGGAAAACAGACGGCCACAGGGATGAGGGAAGAGACCGGAAATGATTGGGAGGTGGTGCGAGCCGTGCCGTCGGGAGACGGGAAGTACAATGAATGAGATGGAGAGAACCACGCGAGCTGACAACAGAGTAATGAAGACAAATTTCGACGGAGAATAATGCACACAAATGAAGACCTATCTGGACAAATGCAGGTGCAGAGTTCCGGGGAAGGGAGGCCACGGCGAGTGGGATACCCGGAAACCTTGCATGCTGTGTCGGTCAGGAGCCCGGGGGATGTGGTTCATGGTTCACTTACGGCCTGAGAAAGCACGACATTTATGCCATAGGGCACTTAGGAAGAGCCGGCTTTACAGTGCAACTCGCCCTATCCACTGCTTAGAATAGAAAGGCCCTGCGCCCGAGAGGAAGAGAGCTTAGGAGGGAGAGAGGGAGGAAGGACAGGGTCTCGCTTAACGAGACGCAATCTGGCCGAATGACCCCCAGCCTCGCACGCCGGTCAGAACGGCTCACTGAGCACGCCATGGCCGCTTATGAGTCGCCTCCGGGCCGTCGGCACGGCGGCGGACATGCCCTGCGGTGAGAACGGCCGCCGTGGCGCCGGACGGTCCGGTGCTGGGACGCGCGGCACGCCAGCCCCGACGGCCGAGACAAACGCGTGTAATCCGTCGACGCGGTGGTGCGCGGCCTCGCCCCCGGCGCACAAACAGTGCCCGGCGGCGGCGGCCAACCCGACCGCGCTCCAGCCGGCTGGACCAGACGGCTCGCTCGGGCTGGCTTCTCGGAGCACTGCGAGGACTCAGGGGTGGTCCCGTTGCTGGGGAGAGCTGGGACCTTGACGCTCGGCCCCAGGTGGAAGATTCAGACACGGGCTTAGCCCTGTCAGTCCTGGGTAAGCCCCGGGACAATCACGTACATGCCATGGCGGGAGGCTGGACGGGATTGACGTCCCGGTCTGCCCCGAGGCCGGCCACCAGACCCTGGACGTCGCCGGGGCCCGCCCAGACCTGTCGCACCGTTCGCCGTGGGCCAGATCACAGGTGCGCTCATTACGAGCAGCACGGCGCACAAAGGCCGGCCCAAGTCACAGCCCGCGGCGGCGCGCTTCGCCGCGCTCCGAAGCCTCGCAGCGGATCGCGACTGGACCGGCCGACCCACTGTCTCACCGCCCCGAGGACCCCTGCAACTGGACCGGCCGACCCCCGCGACTGGACCGGCCGACCCGCCGTCTCACAGCCCCGAGGAGCCCTGCGACCGCCCGCTGGGCCGGTGGTCCGCTATGCCGCGGCCTTGACCCACACCGCGCTCCGCCCCCCCCCCCCCCCACGGCGACGGTATCGCCGCGGCTGCGCCAGAAATGAAGCAATCTCGACAATCCGGTGTCGGCCGGCGGCACCGGGTGGCCCATGCGGCGTATTAAGTGCGCTACTTCAGAGACATTTGGCAGCGCCGGCAGCCGCAGGAACACGCGGAGAACAATATTTATCCAGTGGAAAATGGCCTAGGCTGTAGCACTGTTTTGTCGTGGAAACGAAAAAGAGGCAGACTGGTCGGTGTAACGACTCTGTTGTTACGACAAAAGCACGGAAACAAGTGGTCAACACCCTTGTGTTTTAAGGAAAATGTTGCATCCTTGTAAGCATTCTGCTCCGAGGTTTCCGAGCAGACCAAGGTTTTGTTTTAAGAATTACGTGACTGCAATGTCGAAAAGTCGTTCACATTAATATCTCCTAATCTGATCTTAGCGCACCGCAGTGTACACCAGCAACACGCGGAAATAGACCATAATATGCTCGTTAGCATATCCAATCCGGCTAACAACTCTAAAACCACCCTGAGCAATGAAGTATGATGCTAATACAGACCTCCAGCATGGTCACCGGGCGTGAGTCGAGCATGAATCGAGTCTGACCTGATCCGCCCGTGCTCAGGCGATCCCACGGGCCCGTGACCCCTGACACCGGGCTGCCCCCACCGACCTGCTGGATGCACTCGACGATAGCGTGCTGCGTCTGGTAGTCCATCAGTTTGATGTTGTCCACCACCTTCTGTTTGCAGCTGCACTGGACGGCGCAGCCGAGCACCAACAGGAGGAGGCGGCGGAGCTCGTCCGGCGCCGCCTCGGCCTCCGAGCCGAGCCGCACCACGTCCGGCAGCCGCGTCACCACCGTCTGACCCAGCACCACCTGAGGACAGATCAGAGGTGTCAGAAGATGGTCACCACCGTCTGACCCAGCACCACTTGAGGACAGACCGGATGTGTCAGAGGAGGGTCACCGCCGTCTGACCCAGCACCACCTGGGGCGGTGGAACGGGGGGTCGAGGGCAGGAGGCGTCACCAGCATTTGACCTAGCACGCTCCGGGACACGGACGGGGTCTCCGGACAGCGTCACCGCTGCCTAACATTTGGCACGTCCTGGAGGTTAGCGGACGGTGCCGTCAGGAGAGAGGGGCCGCGGACGGTGCCGTCAGGAGAGAGGGGCCGAGGGCGGTGCCGTCAGGAGAGAGACGCACCGCGCTTCGCTGCACACCCTGGAACGCGACACCAGAGTGATCATCCATGTGCGGCCATTCCTTTCCCTGATTGACTGGAAAGGGGGGGGGGGGCTGCTATTGGGACGCAGTGGACGTCAACAGCCACCCCACCTGCTGTGGGCCACAGGCAAACAGGCGCTCAGTATCAGTCGCGCCGCAGCAGATCAAAGAGCATGGGTCGTGTGGCGGTGGGTCGGCCGGACACCTTCCACAGATGCGGATCGATGTCGGCTCGGAACAGCGGGCAGGCGTGTCGCGCCAGGTTACCCGGCGGGAAGGCGTGGCCTTTTCCGCGGCAGACGTGCTATTAAGTGGGCATTCCCGAGGCCGGCGTGATAGATGTGCTGGTACATGCTGTCCGCCACGCAGCACACGCTACATCGGTGTCTGCAGACACTGATAGAGCGCTGGCTGGAAGGGTTTCTGCGCTTTTGGTGCTTTTGCTGCAAACGACGCAATTTCGGCTGACTGATGTCCGCATCATGGACCCCAGACGCTGTCAAATGACAATGCATGCTGCAACGCTTGTTAATCAATGCATGCAATCCGAACCTCGAAGATGAATTAATGATAGCTCATTTTCGGCCGTGGTGCCGAGCAGAGCTTCTTCAGATGTGAAATTTACATCGCTGATCAATCCCAGGCCAGCACGTAATGACTTGGCCGGACGTTTTAGACAGCTGGACCAATTGGGTGCTCCACGGTATATTTCACAGAAAACCGATCAATGCTTGGCAATGCAGTGCCACTCAAAGGTCGCGTCCTGACACATAGCTTTGCAAGAACATCATGCGTGGGTTGATGTAGCTTTGTGTCTGCTTGAGCGCTGAACGATTATAAAATAAGCGCATTCGCCTACACCGAAAGCGCAGCGATGAACTTGAGTGGGTCCCCACTGACATACCTCGTTTGGTTGAAAACTTATCTTTGGTCTCAAGTCGTTCGCTTATGTGCGCATTGAACCCACGCAATCAACACAACTGGTGTGAACTGATTTTACCGGCTCGACTTCCGAGGTATCCTGACCGCTGGACTCCAAAAGTATTCCCCAATTCGTCAGCATCACAGATCACGGGGTTTCGTCGCTTAAATAACTGCTGGCGAATCCTTACCAACTCTTCCATTTGGTTGGTGGGGAGTGCGGTCTCATGCACAATAATTTCACCATCGTTCTAAGCTAAAAGACATTGCTTCGTATGACATGTAGACGACATACTCAAGGAGGATAATAACATCGCTAGATAAGAGAGATAGCGAGAGCACAGGGATAACTTGTAGAACGTATTCAAAGAACGCATTGCCGTGCACAGGAGAAAACTTGCTTGGCATTTACAGGTCGTGTGTCAGGAATTTACTTCGTTGCATACCCTTCGTTCCTTTCACCCACCACAGTGACAACTTACATGCTGTCAACTGTGTTCCCGGAAAATGGTTACATGCTCAGAGCTGGTTTCCTTTTCCAACACGCTCCATAGCAACGGGGCGGAAATCAAAGTTAATCTAGTTGACTTAAGCGCCCCAGGCCTGCACAATGAATTTGATAACATGTCAACGAATGTGATACTGAAACGCCATGCAAATGCCGCCGGCTTCACACCGAACCGTCTCTCAACAGATGCAGCATTGGATCACACGTGGCCATACGCAGAACCAAATGGTCTCTGGATCCAACATGAGCCAAGATAAACGCATGGCTTCAGCGCCAATCACAAACGATCGTCGCACACCATGACCGCATCACAGCAATCAGGCCACCGCAGATCGATAGCACACTTTCTGCTCGGTGGACGTACTTACGTCGTGCCTCAAAAGCACATCCGAACAAATTGTCCGTCCTTCAGGGACCGCGCCGGGGTGGCGATCAACAATAATCCATTCCCAGGCCGCAATTAGACGGGGCAGGCCGAGCCGGCCAGTCATTATTCCCATTTAAGACGTAATCAAATCCCGCCGGTCGTCCGGCGGCGCAGGACGCGGCGTGGGACCCGGCGGGCGCGGCCGCAGACCGCTACCCATTACCCGGCGAGCAGATCACGGACACCGCGCCGCCGCCGCGGACAGCGCCGTCGCGCGGCACCGGCGGTCTCGTCGACACGGGCCGCCGGCGTCGGTGCCGGCGAGCGCGCGCCCCGTGCCGTCGGCGGAGCGTGCCGCCGCCCACGGCGCCTAATCGGACGACCGTTGGCTGGGCGGCGGCCCGATATGCAGCTCCCCGACCGGAAACGGATCCGTCATCCGACGGTGGCGGCCGGCGCTGAGAGCGCTGCCGCCGAGAGGCGCGGCGGTTTGCTGGGCGCCGGACGCCGGGCGCGCCGGGGCGGCCGCCACGCAGGCGCGGCAGCCCTAGTCCGCGCTCGCTGACGTGGTGCGCGGCCCGCCGGCAGGTCCCGCCGGTCTGGGCCACCGTTGGCTCGACTTCAGCTGCGGGTGCGGCGGTGGGACCCGAGGGACGATTGGCAGACAATCCGTCCGCTGACGGTGCGCTCCCACGGTCTGGCCGTGGCCAGGCATTACCCGGCGCCTGTTTCGGCCATTTCTACGAAAAACAGGGGCCCCGATCGAGGCCGTTGCCGCAGTAGAGTCTGTCGCGATAACACAAGACGAATGGTGGAAAATCGCGACTTAGCGACGCTGGAGAATTGGCCAACTCGGACGGCGAGCAGCGGCAGCACGTGACAACGGACCGGCCCGTGTCGTAACGTCACACCCAGACGCCAGACGTAACGTCACACCCAGACGCCCGCCGACAATCCGTTCAGCACTGACGCCGGCGTTTTTAAGGGCTGTTTTCGGTCAAGCGTGCATCGCCGGTCGTCTAACGCTCCTGCGGATTGTGACAGTCTATTGTCGCAGTGGGTTGCATTGTTTTGCTGCGCGTTCGTTGCGTCATACGGAAACGGGCCGGTGGTAGCGGGGCACGCAGACCTGGCGGGGGAACGTCCATCCCATACCCGGATATCCATCAATCTTCCTCACGGCCTCCGTGGGGTTCACCTCAGTGCAGCACCAGATCCAGTCAAAACGGCAGACGACCTGTCCTGGCGGTCACTTGACGTCCTCAGCGTGGCCTCAGCCAATCATCAGCGGCCGCCTCCCAGCTCCGCCCGAGCGGCGCTCGACAGCTGGGAACCTCGGCAGCCATCGCCGCCAGCACCGCCCGCCGGTGGACAGTGCGTGCGGGGGACGGGTTGAGTGCGTGTCAGCCGGCCGTAGTCTGCGGCCGTCCCGGCGCGCGTGACGCACGCAGACCAGTAATGCGGCCAATCCGGCGCACGCGGCCACCCAGGGCGACCGGTGACCTCTGTTTCTGGCGAGTGGCGGCGGCCCGGCCGACCGCCGTCCATCAACAGCGCACCTGGTCCTCGCAGACTCGCCGGTAAACAGCGTCCGACCAGCCGGCGCCCGGGGGATGCCATGTTGACGGCGGATCGCCCCGTGTGGTACGCCGAGCGAGGCAGCACGCGGGCCCGAGGACCCGCGCGTCCGCGCTAAGTGCCCGGCTTTTTGCCCGTGCTGGAAACGCTAGCACATTGACATAAGCTACGAGCCCGCGGTAACGATGTGTGAATGGCGCCACTATATCACTCGCATTGGCCGAGCGGCAAATGGCGGTGCGCTGGGGGCGCCGCGGTTCAACAAAACAAGGTGACTTATTGGCGCCCATACCACACCACGCAGCACGGCTTCGCGAGGCGCATGCGCTGCACCGGGCCCGGCAGTACCAGGCAGGACATTTCCAACGCATTATCTGGCAACGTCCGCTGCTTTCCGAGCTCGCAGCCGGCCGGAACGGCCGCCAGGTCACCCTGGTGACGTCAGAGGCTCGCCGTGCCGAGCTGCGTGCTGGCGGCGCAGCGCGTGCCGCGTCCGCCGCGTCAGCCAATGGAAGGACGTGAATCAGCAGCAGGGTATGAACAGGAGCGCAAAAATCGGCAGGGTCGGCTGGACAAAACAGCGACGGCCGTGTGAAAAGCGACCGCTGCATGCGCTCTGTGCCGCCAGGCGGCGGGAGGAAGTGGTTTGGCAAAGTGGACAGCGGGAGGGGAGGGAGGAGGGGAGGCGGGCAGCAGCGTGACCGGTGAGTCACCCCCAAATGTATCGCCCGGTCGACGGTGGAGGGGGAGTCAAGGACGCGCGCGCGCCGGTCCGCCCCCCACGAGCCGCCGTCTTCCTCCATCCCGCCCTCTGCCCGCCTCCCAGCCTCTCTCTCAGGTCACGGCTCTCCCCTCTCTCGTGACGGCTTATTCAAACGGAATCGGACGGCCGAGGCGGGATGATTCACTAAGAAAACACGGCACCGTCTGTGGACGCGTCTGGCCGCCCTCTGATCGTGTCGAGTGGGTCGTCACGACTACCCCCAGCCCCGTGACCCACGGTCGCCAGGACAGCGACGTGACCCACTGACCCGTGGCGCGGAGACGCGTCGCCGTCTCATCCTTCGGTCGGTCACACCAATTGGTGGAGGGCCATCGAGGAGCGGCCACCGCAGCCAGGAGATCGAAAAACTACGGCTTTAGTAATTCACGC